TTTATTTTGATTGACACGGATCAGCCCGAAGAAACAAAAAACAGCGAAAAAAAGTGAAAAGTGCAAAAAATACAAAAAACGATAGTCTAAACCCATCTTGGTGCATTAATAAAAAATGTCGGGAAGACAATTTTACTATAAAACATGACTGACCCTAACCCCAAACTAACCCTTACCCTAACTTTAATTAAAAAACAAAAACCACGTGACTGGATACAGCTTTAGACGTCCCCTAAATTAGGCAAGTGAAAAATGGGTCAGTAATACCGTAAAACGCAGTACAAGGTACCCCCCTTGATTTAGACCCCCCTTGATTTGTACCGGGTATATTACAAGGGCATTTGTTGTGGTATTTTGTAAGAGACCCGGGTATAAATCAATGCTGATTTAATATACTATATATTTTTTTTCTAATAAACTAATATAACCTCTTCACAATATACCCTCCAAATAATATACCCACTGCCATACAATATACCCGGGGGGTATGAATCAAATTTTGATCACGTGGAATGTAAAATATCTGGGTACTTTGCACTGCGTTTTACGGTACTGGTCCTCATAAAGTAGCTTAGTGGTGGCGAACAAAAGCGCAATCATATGATCTTTGTCCAATAATATTATAAGATCAGGTGTAATGTAGCACAAACAGGTAAATTCAAAACAAACGTTCGTTTTTTCCAAAACCGCCAATAACTCAAAATTTTGCTTATGAAACCGTCTTTGGTGTCTTAATAAAAAAATTTTCTTGCAAAATTTTACATTTAATACGATCTTTAAGCACCTTAATGCTAAACAATACATACCCTAAAGAAAGATTTTATAATTTTAATACTTCGTTGTTTTGATTTTACATTACACCTGATCTTATAATGTGATTGGTCAAAAATCATGTGATTGCGCTCTCCCATTCGCCACCACTAAGTTACTAGCACTCATACATATAAAATCCAAATTGGTATTTTTGGTATTGGTTGATGATCTTAAAAGGGGTACCGTGTAAGGTATCCATTAGTAATTAAAAATCAAAAAAAATATACTTTAACATATTTAATTGCAAGATTATGCTAAAAAGTATTATAAACTATGATAAATAATTTTAGTTAACATTGTTTATGTACGTATATGTATATGCACTGCCTACGTATTTGTTTGTCTCTCATATCAGGATTTAACTATGAAAACACAAATGGGTTTTCTCCTGCTAATCGAGCAATCTGCGCAGCTTAACTAGGATCGGTTTCCTTATATATCTATCACATGACTGTCATTCCGACAGGTCAATGAAAAAACTGTGTCACTTAATAGGTCACACAAAAAACATAACATATGACTGTCGTCTGACAGGTCATAAAACAAAATATTAACCCCACCCGGCCTAACCTAGCATGACTGTCATCTCAACAGATCACTTAAAAGAGTATCTTGATTAGGGCAGGGTGGGTGGGATCGAAGTAATCAGATCTAAAATCGGGTAATTGCAGAAGAAACAAGGTTATCTTTACCTATCTACCTTAATGACCCTAATATACTCAACGATTACTCACCGATTATCTCATAATTACCCAAGTAACCCATTTATACTATACTGATCGATTACTTACTAATTACCTACTAATTACCTCATAGCTATACTAAACGCATAACTATGAAATACTTGAAAGAGACAATTACCTCATACTTACTAAACCTTCCCATCAAACATGTGACTGTAATCAGGGCATGTCACATGCCTGAACCCGGGTTGATTCGAGACAAACACTGGCTCGATACTTACGTATCGAGCAGTTATTTGTTTGTCTCTCATATCAGGATTTAACTATGAAAACACAAATGGGTACTTGCAGAGCATCGTAAAACAATAAATTGCGTTAAGCAAATAAATCTAACTAATCTGTACATTCTTAAAGCACATAATAAACTACCCTTCGAAACCCATAGCAATCAATGCACCTAAATTGACAGTACCTATGGCCCTCATATACAATCTTGTAGCATCTGAAACCCAGCCGCCTATGATCTGAATCTGCTCCATTAATAACCCACCCTTTATAGCCACTGTGGCTCCCCTGATTCTCAAGCTGTAAGCTGTAAACCTTCCCTTCATTTTAACATGTTCTGCAAAACGTTTAACCACTGCTGAGATAGCTGAAACAGACATTTTCTTTCTAGACTTCGACAAGAACAACGGTGCATCACCCTTCGTTACAGGTCTAACTTTCAGATAACTCACTACTCTCTCAACGGGCAAAACCTACTATTCATTCTTTCAATCGGGATGAATTTCTCTTTAGCTAATTGGTCTGTCTTGGACTTGTTAATCCTTATCCAAAACAAACCACTCGCAAGTTTAACATCACTCAACCTTAAATTACATAACTCACCAGGCCGTCTCATTGTTCTTAAATCTAGGACAATCAAAGCCAAGTCCCGAGCCCAAAACTCATAACTAACACCTTCCGGAAGAAAGTCCAAGTAGAATTTCAAAGCTTCGACAGGAAAAGGGTCTCTAGGCCACTTCGTTTCCGAAAACTGAGCTGCACATCTCCTAAGACTATTCACTGCAAACTGGACTGCATTTTCCTTTGTCGGGTCATACCAGCCTTGGATTTTATGGGCCCTGGAAACAGACAACAAGCAAACCGTCAGCTCAGAAACACGCCTCAACATCTCCATCCAGGCAACAAAAGCCAAAACTGTGGAACTTGAAGCAGGTAAGGAAGAACTATTCGTTCTTAAAGTAAATTTTGAAAAAACTTTCCACGCTCTCTTTAATCTCTTATTATACGCTTCACTGACAGAATTTTTAATTAAACATTCCGCACAAACTAAGCATTCTTGGACCAATCTATTCGCACCGCCCTCAATCTCCAAAGCCCATTTCTGCAAAGTTCCAGGCAACCCGAAGGGCCCGGTTGAATAATCTCCACAGGTGGAGGAAGATCCACCTCTTCTCTTACTGCTCCCATAACTAAGGGCCACCAGGGGGCGGCAACCTAAATTGGAACAATAATTATTATCACCGCCTGACATTCCTTGGCGTGCGCAATAGCCCTGTGAATCATTGCAAAGGGGGGACACAGATAGTTTACTACACCTTTTCAATCCTGGGAGAAGCAATCTACCGCTTCTGAACCTGGACAGAAATACAGACTGTTGAACCTTTCATTTTAGCATTCAGATGACTTGCAAATCTGTCGACATCGAACTTTCCCCAATGAACCTCCAACCACTCTACTACATCCATTCTTAAAGACCAATCTCCTAAATCTAACACCCACGTAAAATCGTCGACTAGATTGTACTCACTTGGAACCCAACGAACTTGAAAAACGTCTATATCCTTCTCCAAACAAACATTCCAAATTTCTTTTGCAACGTCCTTTTGCCATCTTCTTGACTCTTCATACTGAACCATCCTCAGGGCTACCCTGTTGTTTATCATCAACGTTATTACTGATCCTTTCAACTGATCTCTCAAAGATTGTAACACTCGAAGAACTGCTATAGCTTCGAGTTGTGCAATCACATTTGCAGACAGTTTTTTCGCCCAACTGCCACTTGCAACCAAGCTCTGATAAATTCTGTACCAACCGACCACAGACGCATCTACAAACACCATCCTCATCCAGGACAGCTTCCACGCAGGATGACTATTCCAATTTTTCAAGTTTTCTATTAGCCACTGCACATCTTTCACTGCTTGACCCATCAAAACTATACTTTTGTCCCACTCATATAACAAACGGCTCTTGACATCTATCAATTGATAGAATTCCAAGCTCTTTACTTGAGCAGGGGCGAAGGCCCTTGCTAAACTTTGAATTTTGCCTGCAACCGAAGCAAGCTTCCGAACTGAAACCGACGGAGTCTCCAACAAGGTCTTCAGCAGCGAAATCGTTGCTTTGATTTTTTCCTCTGGCACAACAACCAACCCATTCAGTGTATCTATCACCAAGCCGCAAAACTTGGGTCTCCGAACTGGGTCCCAGCTGCCTTTCTCTATGGCACGGATCCATCCACAACCTTCCAAATCTACTTTTATCACTTCCTCCATCTGCTTTAACAAAATTTCCTTCAACGGGTGAGCAACCCAAACATCGTCGAGGTAATTTCTACAAAAAATACCACGGGCTCTCCAACTTCCGATCATTGCCCTCATCACTTTCGCAAATATCCAAGGGGACTGGCTTAAACCAAAAGGAAGCACCTTGTAGTAAAACCACTTCTCCTCAAACACAAAACCCAGAAAACGTTGTGCCAAGTCATCCATCATCAAGCGGTGATAACCTTCTTTCAAATCGAACGTTAGAACCCACCAATTTCTTCCTATCGTTCTTAACAAGGTTCCCAACCCCTCGAACTTGAACGACTTCTTGGGTAAGGTTCTGTTTAACCGCCTTAGGTCGATAACCAACCTGAATTTTTTGGGACCCTGTTTGGGCACCACAAACACAGAGCTCACTTCCAAGAGAACCTCTGGCCTTGAACTGCCTCTTGATACCAATTCTACTGCCCCAGACGCTTCTAAACGGACTAACTCCCGATTCACCCAATCCCTTTCTTCCACTAAAAACTGCTATTGGGTAGGAACTGGCAAAGATGCCAGCTTCATAACACTCTTTGGAAAAAGCGGAACCCTCTTCTCTAACCATTCCACTACTACAGGAGCCGGTTTTATAATTTCCTTCTAATAACGAACCGCCGAAACCGTGTATAGTCTCCTGGTCACAAAGTGAGGCAAGTTTAACACGTTTCCATCCTTGACCTCCAGATTCACATCCGACCGAGTGTAGTCAGCTTCGTTTGGGTCCAGAACTTTCGTCACGAAAGGAAGAACTCATATGCTTCCTCGACCCACACTCATTAGCATAATGCCCTTTTCCCTCACACAGATAACATACAATTTGCTTAGAAGATGCAAACCTATTAGGCATTCTTGTATTCCTATATGCAGCTCCAGGTGAGTCACGCGATGAAAACTGCTTATGTGCGCCAATCTAAGGATTCGGAGACCAGGAATTATGAAAAGGTTGTTGACCCAAAGAAGAACCAGACAGGTCACGTGAATGTGTCTCATCCCAATAATTATTCGTAGGAGGAGGACAGAACATCCTCTGTGAAGATATCTGTTGCCAATTCGGATGGACAAATGGTTGAGGCTGAATGCCCGAAGGCATATATAAGCTTGGAACTTGAACCTGCACAGGCTGCAGCTGATTATTCAAGTAATAACCTTGTCCATAAGAAACTTTAGAACGTTTGTTCCTTGGAAACTGCTGCACCGCCATCCTTGCTCTCTCACGTTTCCCACTGAATAACTCTAATATTGGATTTGACATATCACCTGATGTCATTTTTACAGCTACACTCCAACCATCCTCGTCAGCCACCCTAACCACATAAGCCCTTTCCAGCGCCACTTGTCTGGCAAGTTGAACATAATTAGCATCACCTGTAAAAAGGGCCTTATCCAATAACAAACCGGCCTTGCACCACTCATTATATTCCCAATGATTCCTTGCCTTAGCCAGCTCCCGCTTCTTCCATAAGCCTTCCTGTAAATCCCAATTTGAAGGCACATCATTTGCCAAAAAAGG